AAGGAGATGAGGGTTGGGAGCAGAAGGGTGAGGGTGGGCAGGGATGAAAACTGCAGGAATGCGGTTACAAGGCTGCACAATTTGGTTGGTGGGGGGAGCAGGTGAAGGAAATGAAAAGGATCCAGCGGGGGCCAGGTGATTCAGGACAATGGTAAGCATAGTCCAATGGTGATTAAACAAACTGTCATATTCACTTGTGGATTTCTCATTTGAGAATTGGACACAGACTCTCTGGCTTCTTCATGCTGAACAGGGGCATTGATGTGAAGGGGGAAAGGGAGCACACTTTATCACTTTGCTTGGTGGTCTTGGGTTGAAGCTGCTTGCCTTCTTGTTCTGTTAGAGGATGTTTTCCTGACATTTACTCCCCTCTGGACTGCCAAGTGTTTTCCCAGGTGGGTCCAGTGGGGATGGCTGACTGAACCCTGAGGCTCCATCCTTCTTTGCTTCCTTAGCTGGCTGTTGTATTTCCTTTTTGTCTTTGGAATTGGGTTCAGGGTCAGGTCTGGAGTAAAACTCAGTGTTAAGGTTACCTATAGAAAAGGGAACAAATCTAGAGAACACAAACTTGTGAGTAACAAATAGAAGGGCTTTGGGGGTGTTACTTACAGGAATACTGGGGGAGATGGTGGAGGAAAGTAGCCTCAATAAAATTCTCTGTATACCCTAGGCAGTTTTTTTCTACCCAGGGGTTGGACGGTCCAATCCGAGGGCTGAGGAGCTCGTTCCAGCGCCTGCTGGGGGCCAAACGCATGGCTCGCCTGCAGCCCTCTGGGGAACTAAACGAACTGCCGCCCCCGAGGGCCGATGGCAACCCTCGTGGACCAGGTGACACACCCCCGGGGATGGCTGGCACCTCCCCCCAAATTCCCTACCCCAAGTCCAGACCCCACACCTCACTGAAGACCATGTGGCCAGAGACAACATCCCCAATTCCAGTACCGCCACCATTACCCACCCCCCAATAAGTGGTCATACTGTAATTTGAAGTGTCACTGCCCTCCCCCTATATAAGTTGAGAAAGGGACCTGAGAGTAGTGAACACCCCCCCCCAACCCCAGGTCTAAACAGTTCTTGGCAAAGGCAGACAGCAGATCAAAAGATGCCGTGCATTGAGGACATCTGCTGTCTCGGACATGCTGCCACAGTTAAATGTGGTTGAGTCGTAAACAACTCACAGAGACTCTCATCAATCCATTGTACTGGAAGTCTTCCTCTCTGGGCTGCCCAGGGAAACCCCATCCTGCCACCCTGTCTCTCGCCACCCCTGTCTTGGCTCCAAGAATTCTCCCCAGAACCAGTCCACTCTGCTGCGGTGTGGCAGCTCTGCTGCACCAGCCTGGGGTAGGGGGTGGGGGGTGCCTACCGTCCTTCTCTGGTGAGGGGATCCCTGGGGTCGGCGGTGGGAGCCTCATGGAGCTGCAGCAGCAGTGCAGGCTCGGCAGCAGAAGGCTGGGAGCCATGGGACTCACCCATTCCTCCCTGGGAATCCTTGATCTCGAACCTTGATCCACACCAAAGACCTGTCATCAAGTGTTTAACTGTTCAATTATCAATAAACAGAGGTCTGGAGAAGGCTATGGTGGCCCTCCTCCATGTGGTCCACTGCTCCCGCAGCTCACCACGTTGTTTTGGCTGCTGCTGCCATCTTGGAATCTGAATTTTATTTTTTTAGCTTCAGTTTAAATTTATGTATATGGGATGCACAAATGTTAACATATGTGTGCATATTAATTTCCTAAGACTGAAGTAACAAAGTACTGCAAAATAAGTGACTTTAAATAATAGGAATAATAACAGTCTAGGACCTAGAAATCCAAATCAATGCGTTGGCAGGCCATATAAGCTTTGAAATGTATAGAAGAGTCTTGTTTCTCCCAGCTGCTGGTATCCCTAGGAGTTCCTGGTATTACAGATTTAGCCTCACATACCCTTCCTTACAGCCTCTGTTTCTCTTAATGTCTCTTCTTTTTTCTAAGGACACCACTGGGATTGGACAGTAGCCACCCTTTCTCAGCATGTTGTTGCCATCAAGTTGATTCCAACTCACAACAACCCAGTGTGACAGAGTGAAACACACCCCCCCCCCATAGAGTCTCCTAGGTTGTAATTCTTACAGAAGCAAATGACTATGTGTCTCTCCTGCAAGCAGCTGCTGTTATTGCCAATGAGTCAGTAGCGATTCAGAGCTGACCTTCCAGTGAGTGTTCAGAGGCATTAAATCACACAGAAAGTAACCGCCCATCTTCTTCCCACCCAGCACCTGGTGGATTTGAACTATATGCCTTTGGGATTGCAGCACAGCTTCTTACCACAGAGCTACAGATTGCCAGTCTTTCAGCTAGCAGCTAAGAGTTTATCTCTTGCACCACAAGGGCTCTAACATTAAAAACCCTCAAAACTCACCATCATACAGTGGGAAGTGCCTCATTGCTGGCCCTTCATTGGGTTTCAAATGTTGTAAATTATGTGGGGAAAAAACTGTCCATCTTTTTCCTCAGGTGAATTTGAACCATCAGGGAGGCTCAGCCTTTGGGTTAATCATAGGACTCCCTACAGATTAGGCCACCAGAGCTCTCTGTCCCCATGTTAACAGAGGACATCTTCAAAGACTCTGTTTACAAACAAGGTTCCCATATACGGGTATACACCTGATACAGGCCACGGACTTTGCAATCACTTGCTATGCATCAGAGAGCTGGACAATGACTAGGAAGGACAGAAGGAGAATTGACACCTTTGAACTGTGGTGCTGGAGAAGAGTATCGAATTTACCATGGACTGCTAAGAAAATGAACAGGTTCATCCTGGAGTGGGTGAAGGCGGGCTGCTCCTTGGAGGCAAGGATTCTGAAGCTTCGTCTGAAAAACTTCGGACATGTTGCAAGGAGGGACCAGTTCTTGGATAAGGATATCATGCATTTGAGGGTGGAGGGACAACACAGGAGAGGAAGACCCTTGATGAGATGGATTGATTCAGTGACTGGGGAAATGGGGATAAGTGTGTCAGAAAAGGTGAGATTGGCATAGAATAGGGCAGTTGTACATAGGGTCACTGTCGCAGACAACTCGACAGCACGTAACAACAGTTTCAACATCAGAACCTTTCTAAGGAAAAGTTAAACAAAATAGTGTGCTTATGATGTGCTATTCTGTATACATTTTAATCATTCAAAATTAAGGCTATGTGACTGCAATTTTTCAACTTTCTCTTACAGGTATCTCTGATGAATATATAACACCTATGTTTAGTTTTTACAAAAGTGTTGGCGAATTGAAAATGACTCAGGAAGAGTATGCTTTGCTTACAGCAATTGTCATCCTCTCCCCAGGTAATTTCCACCTGACATTTCTATTTGATTCCAGTGTGTTTTTCTATGTTAGTATGTAATTATGATAATATAATTGAAGAAAGTTTAGAAGACCTAGAGACATAAAGAAAAAAAATAAAACTTGAACACAGGTATTATTAACATTTTCACACACTTATCTTTTTCCCCCCTAAACTTTGTATTAATTAATTCAGTTAGTGCATACTGAGTTCCTACTATGTGCTGCATATAGTTATAAATGATGGGGACACAGTGACGAGGACAATAGGCAGGAACCAGTCCTGATGACATGGACTTTCTATTGTTATTGTTGTTAAGTGTTGTCGAGTCATAGGTGACTCATATCGACCCTATGAACGAAAGACCTGAACACTTGTATAACTTTCATCCTTTCTCCAGCCAGGTTCATAGGGTTTCTGGAGGCAAGCTATTTATGGAAGTGGATGCCACTCCTGCTTCCAAGCTTGTTTGAATCAGGGAACACCACCAAACATTGTCTACCATGGGTGACCATTATCACATTTGACACATCAGTGTCACACACCAGTGTCACATGGACTTTCTATTAGGGTGCGAGATAATGAAGAAACAACACTAACCTTTGAGGAAACAGTAGAAATGAAATACAACACAAAGATGAGGAAATAAGGAAAGTAAGACCTAAATACAATTCTCTAAGTTTGAATATAGTAAATACGGTACTTAAAGAAAAGTAAGGGCGATGAGGATGGTACTATGGGTGCTGGCTGTTTGTTGTTATCTGGATTTGGGTTGGAACTGACTCATAGCTGACCCCTCAGTGGGTTTTCACAGGCTGTAAATCACACGGGAGGAGATTGCTCATCTTTCTCCCTCAGAGCAACTGATGGATTCTAAGTACCACCTTCAGGTTGGCCACTAGAGGTCCTCAGTGGGGGGGGCGCAGGTGGTTATTGTCAATCACTGCAGACACATGATGATCTCACGATAGAGCTGCTCCATGGGTATTTCAAGGCCCCTTTCCTCCCTGCAGCCTCTGACTGGGTTCAAGTTGCCAACTTTTCAATTAGGAGACCAGAGCTGAACACGTGTATCACTTAGAGACTTCTTGTAGTTTTTTAAATGTCACATTTCTTCAAAAGTGTTTCTCCATATGAATAAAAAAAATATATTGGTGAAGTTCATTGTACTGCATATATTACAGTCTGTTATAGATATGAAATAATTACTTAATCTTTATCATACATTTGGTATTCCGAATGTTCCCCCTTTCTGTGTTTTAAACAATGTTGAAAAGGATACCTCTCTGCTTAAGTATTTTCAGATTATTTGGACAATTTGATAGCAAGTCAAGTCATGTTCATGATTTATAGTGAACATGTACAGTTAACTTTTAACAACTTTTGTGTGTGATAATGAGGCAGAAGTTAGTAATTTATTTACTTACTTTATCATTTAAAAAGTAGAATAGTTTCACAGTATCTACTAAAACTACATATGTTGCTGTTGTTATATGCCATATAACATAGCTGCTCATCCAGAGGGTTTTCAGAGGCAGTAAACTGCACGGTTGGGGATTACCCTAAATGTCTCCTGTGGAGCAGCTGGTAGATTCGAACTGTGTGCCTTAAAACTACATATATATATTAGAATGCACACATAACACACACACGTATATGTATTTATATACACAATGGGGGTAGGTGTGTTGGAGTCAATGAGACTCGCTTAGGATAGGGCAGGGTTCAGCGCTATTAAACACAGGATCACTATGAGTCACAGGTGACTTGACAGCACATAACAACATACATACATATACACATACATATATAGACCTCTACTGGCCTATGGGTAGGAAGTTGTGCTGCTAATCCAGAGGGGGACAGTTTGAACCCACAAGCAGCTCATTGGGAGAGAGATAGGCAATCACTTCTCATGCAATTTATAGCCTCTGAAAACCCACTGAAGGTCAGCTATGAGCCAGTTTTGACTCAACGGCAGTATTTAGATAGATAGATAGATAGATAATAGCTAGATGATAGATAGATAGATAGATAGATAGATAGATAGATAGATAGATAGATAGATACAAACATACATACATACATACATACATAGACAGACAGATAAGGATAAAGATACAGTCCCTTATGACCAACTAATTCCACTCTGCTGGGAAAAATCCCCAACAGAAATGAGTGCTTATGTCTATGAAAAAAGAATAGTCACAGCAACTTGGAACAGTCCAAATGTGGGTCCACAGTGGAAGGCATGCATAGATTATGCTATAGCTGCATCTTATAATATTATGTGGACAGCAATAGAAAAGAAGAATTGCTACATGCAACAACACAAATGCATCTCAAGGATAATACATCGAGCCAAATGAGGCAAGCCAAAAAGGCCATGCTGTATGACTCTGCTTATTTCATGTTTAGAAACAGGAAAACTGGACCCAGGTGGCAGAGATAAGAACATGGGCTACTATGGGGGTACTGGTTAAGAAGGGACTTCAGGGACCTTTCTTGGGAGCTGTAAATGTTCCATGTCTTAATCTCATTGTGATGACCTGAGTAGAAACCAGGTGCTGCAATACTGACCCCATGCGTGGCCCCACATGTACAGAGTAGAACAGCATCAGTGGATTTTCGGGGTTGTGATCTTTTACACGCAGATCACCAGGCCTTTCTTCTGAGGCACTCTGCATGCTTTTAAACTGCCAGCTTTGTGGTTCGTTCTTGAACACTGAACCATTTACATCACACAGACATTCCAATAAATATACATGTGTGTAAAAATGTTTCCGTTTGAATGCTTACCTTTGCATATTTGATGTGCATATTTATAAACAACATTTTTTTTAAAAAAAAGTTAGCATTGTCTAATTGTGTCAAATATGAGTTGTCTACCACTCGACAGCACTTAACAACAACATAGAGCAAGCTCTGTTGGCCTACTGGATAGAAAGTGATGCTACCAAGCCAAAGGTGGGTGATTTAAACCTGCAGCCCTTAGGCCTGGTTTGAATTGGTTTTGGTCAAACATTCTTCTAAGTGGTATAGCACTGGTCTGTCCATTTGCTGTACAACTCGTGGTTGCTGTGATACTAAACACTATGACACTGATGTGTCAAATGCAATAATGGTTACTCATGGTGGACAGTGTTTAGTGGAGCTCCCTGATTAAACCAAGCTTGGAAGCAGGAGTGGCATCTACTTCTGTAATAGCTTGCCTCTGGAAACCCTATGAACTTGGAGAAATGATGAACGTTATACAAGAGTTCAGGTCATTCGTTCATAGGGTCGCTATGAGTCGTCTACAACTCAATGGCACTTAACAACAACAACAATAATTGTGTCAAATATGAATTAATTTTTTCACTTCTCACTTGTGTCCTTTTACTCCAAACTTCAAAACAGACAGACAATACATAAAGGACAGGGAGGCGGTCGAGAAGCTGCAGGAGCCACTGCTTGAGGTGTTACAAAAACTGTGCAAGATTCATCAGCCGGAAAACCCTCAACACTTTGCCTGTCTCCTGGGCCGCCTGACGGAACTGCGGACATTCAACCATCACCATGCGGAGATGCTAATGTCCTGGAGAGTGAATGATCACAAGTTCACCCCACTGCTCTGTGAAATCTGGGACGTGCAGTAATGCAGGAGTAGGGACCAGGGCTAGCCCTCTATTTCCTTTGTAATAGAAATTTGATGTATAACATTCCTTCATTTGTACCTAGTTCCACACATTTTTTTTAAAAAAAAAAACAAAAACAAAACACCTTATACTGTGGTGTGGGTGAAAGTTTACAGAGCACATTCTTTCCCATTCAACAATGTATACACATTTTATTTTGTGATGTTAAATTTCCACAGTTGTAACAGCCCTCTGCTCATGTTGCTCTGTGTCTTTGCCTGTCCCTTCCTGTCTTCTGAACTTTATTCGTGGGCAAATGCTACTTTGGTGGTCTCATATAGTTGTTTTTGAACTGGTCAGAGGAGTACGTTCCTCCTGAGTGTTACTGTACGTCTATGTTGTTTGGTGCTGTCAAATTGAGTATGACTCAGAGCCTCTCTGTGAACAAGAGCTCTGAACTCTGTCCTAGCCTCTGCCGTCCTCGTCACCTCTGACACGCTTAAGCCCATTGCTGCACTATTGTTAAATACTGTCAAACTGCCTATGGCCATAAGTGACCTTGTCCTTTGCTCTATCCATGACCATTCTCATGGTCTCTGTCACGCTCAAGCTCATTGCTGCAGCCACTGCGTCAATCCATCCTGTGGTGGGTCTTCTCTCCCCCTTTTGCTGACTTTCCACCTTTCTCAGTTTGATGACAGGTCCCTCCTGACATGCCCAACACATGCTAAAACTCTGTCTCTCTTCATACACTCTATAGGATTGTCTATTGTTGAACCAGAAGTTGATCTCCAAGGGTGGGTTCAGTTCCAGGCCTGAAGAATGTCTAAGGGCCACAGTGTTAGGGAATTCCACTTGTCTCAGTGAGATTAGTAAATGTAGACTTTGACATGATTTTTCACTTTGTTAAATTATTTTTCTGCCTCCCATCTGTCTAAGACCTTTTATGGTGCTTTTAACCAGAGAGTCAGCCATAGCAGTGGGGCACCATCTAGTCCTTCTGGTCTCTGGGCAGTGAAGGTTGGGTTCGTTCATGTCATCCGTAAGTCCTTTAGTCTTATTATTCCTTTGAGCTTTTGGTTTTCTTTACTCTTCTTAGCTTTAGGCAGAAAGTGATCACTAATTGCACCTTAGAAGACAGCCTGTAAGGTTTTAAAACCAGAGTCATTACTCACCAAAGTAGGACGGTGAACATTGTCTTTGTAGATTTTGTTATGCCAGTTGATCTACAAGTTCCCCAAGACAGAGTTCATGCAAGAATCTTGATGTATATTTATAGAGTAATTATGTTACTTCCATAATTATAACGACGGGGCTAGATGGAATTACTTTCTGCAGTCTGTATTAGGCTTCAGGGAAGCCTTCATTCTGATTGGCTTGTCCTGTTTGCCTATTTCAATTGCTCACTACTTCAATTCCATTACAATAAGGGGGATTTCATTTCGCTCTTCATGTTATTTTATTGCATATATTTTATTAAAGAGTTGTGTTCAATGTTAGCAATAAACCACAAATAATGACCATGGGTTTTTCTTTGGGAACAAAAATAGAAAAATGATGGGCTCGTATTCCTTTAAATGATAAAAGGCATTCCATTGAACTTGAGGGGAGTCATTTAGAGGAAGAACTCTCACCACACTGCTGGCACTTCCCCAATCCTGGAGAATCCTGATGAATATTCATTCATTTGTAATAGCTCTCTGATCATCTCATTTTCTAAGGGAGAGTAGCATGCAATCCAGAAGTTAATAATGCTCATGGAAAACATTTCCTCAAGCCATCACTTTCTTTCTAGTGAGAGTCTTGAGGCAGCATTTATAAATTCAGAAGATACAGACACCACAGTGATCGGGCATCCCCTTATCGCTCTTTAGAATGCTCTGCATTGGCTTCAGAACATATAATTAATCACTTTTTGTTTGTTTTCTTTTACTTTTTGAAAGCACACTTACAGCTGGGCACACAGCTGTCCTTTACTTCCCCCAAGCAGCAGTGAGTTCATTTCCTTCCTCCATTGCTACATTGTTGCATTTGCCTCCCCATTATTCTTCAGTGACTATAATAAAACACCTTCTATAAACAATAGAAGGAGCCCTGGTTGTATAGGAGTTAAGCTCTCAGCAGTTAAACAGAAAGGTTGGCAGTTCCAACTGACCAGCCACTCCATGGCAGAATGATGCGGCAGGCTGCTGCTGGGAAAACTCTAGCCTTTGGAAATTCTAGGGACATTTCTACACTGTTGCCCCCACTAAACAGCAGTATTGTAGCTGTTATTATGTGTCATCAAGGTGGCCATGACTCATGGTGATTCCATGAACAACAGATCAAAGCCTTGCCCTATCTCGTGCCATCCTCGTCCCCTCTGCCATGCTCAAGCCCCTCGTCACAGTCACTGTGCCAATCCATCCTGACCAGAGTCTTCCTCTCTCTGGAAATCCCCTTTCCCCTGCCTGTTCTCTTTTTCCCCCAAAGACTGACCCCCCTGAAAACATGCCCAAAGTATGTGAGCTTGAGTTTCACCCGTTCTGCCTCTAATGAGCACTCTGGTTGTTCTTCGTCCAAGACAGGGTTGTTTGCGCTTCTGGCAGCGCATGGCAGACTCAGCACTCCAGACCAACACCACAGTCAAATACAGCGTTGGGGTTGAGCATTTTTGCTCTACTGAAGTCAGCCCAAACGGAGTTTGCTTAATAAGCAAATGGTTGTCTGGTTTTATATTAAAATGCTAGGCCAACACTGAGCACACTAATGGAATTAGAAATGACTTGGGGCTATTAGTTGGGTTCTCTTTCTTGAGTCTATACAACATATAAGAGTCTTTTGCTAGCCTTTTAAGAAGACTTGGTGACACAATATTTTTGGCTGCTCCATCAGTCTGATCCTCTGGAGAAAGCTGGCCAGTGTCCTGCTGTGAATAAACCGGGTAGAGGGCCACTCTGAGTCAATGGCCTCCACAATTGTCAGATGGGGTGGTAAGGGACATTTTTTGGCTGCTATTTTGTTTTAGGGGTCTTTTTTCCTCTTTTTTTTTACTGTGAGAGATACAAAAGTGGTTATTGTGTGGGATGAAAGAAATGGGAAGGATCTTTTGTGAAAAACAATGTATTCACACTTTGTAAATAAATCAGAGTAATAGAAAAAAATTTAAAAAATTCAAATATTAAAAAAGTGATTGTTGTTGTTAATGTGCCATTGAGTCGATTACAACTCATAGGAACCCTATGAACAGTAGATCTGAACCTGGCCCGCTCCTGTACCATCCTTACCATCTCCAAGACACCTGAGCCCATTGTTACGGTCACCATGTCAACCCATCTTGTTGAAGGTCTTCCTCTCCTGTGTTAACCCTTCACCTTTTCATGCATGATGTTCTTCTCCAAGGACTGGCCCATTCCTAACATGACCAAAGTATGTGAGATGAAGTTTCCCCACCCTTGCTTCCAAAGAGCACATTAGCTACACTTTCTCCAAGACATATTTGTTCTTTTGAACGTCCATAGGCTATTTTGTACTCTTCTCCAATATCACAACTCAAATACAGCAATCCTTCTCTGTCAAATTAGTAATTGTCAACTTTCAGCAGCATAACAATTGGAAAGACATCATATCTATCTGGTGGGGCTTCCATGATGTGAAGAAAAGCAAGTTCTGTGCTCACAAGGCAAATCTCCCCGGAAATGTGACATTTCTGTAGGCTTTGGAGGGAAGCCTGGACTTTGACGGGCCAGGAAAAGAGGAAAGACCACTCAAGTGGCAGAATGAGTCAAGTTCAAATAAGGAAGAAGGTAGGAGATTATGGTGGTAGAGAATGACAACAAGCTCACAATCTGTTCTCCAGCTTCTTTTAACCATTGTAAAATGAAAACATCACTGCCTGCTGCCTTAACTTTGGCCTGATAAAGTCCTGAGGGCATTTATTTAGGAGATGTCCCCAAATAGCAAGGGGGAGGTATGAAGAAAATGAGACAGCAAGGAAAAAGGAGTGTTACTGCGCTGGCTGCTAACATGCGCACAGCAGCTAAAACCAGTGCTGTTGCCTTGACCCAGCCTCTGAGCCACGTCATGTGTCAGAATGAAAGTGTGCTGCACAGGCTCAGTGTTTGGAAGCACGTCACCAGCCTTTCTTGAAAGGTACCACTATTGGAGAACCACCAACCTTTTGGTTAGTAGCCACACACCTTAACTCAACCACCCAGGGACACCCCTATTGTGGCAACTGGGGTTCAGCCCTATAAGGAACCATGTAGAAGCCTCTCAGAGTTGTTCTCCTGCAGTACAGGGAGGTTGGAATATCAAACCAGAGTCTCTTATCTTCCCCTGATGGAGCGTTGCTCCTGAGGCTGGGAATGGCTTTACCCTCAGGTTTGTCTCTGAGCTGCTGTGCAGCCTTGAGCGACAGTTCGGAGGCTGTAAAACAGGCTAGTCAGCTCAGAGCTTGCAGGGAAGCCTGGTGCTGTGCCAAAAACCCTGTGGAGTTGGCTGTGCAGTTCTGTTAGGGGCATTCGCGATAAGGCAAGCAGAACTGTTTGCACGGTCTCCAGACCTGAGTAGGTGTTCGGTAATGTTGGCTCTGCTTTTCTACCAATCAACAGGTTGCTTAACTGGTCCCCGCCTCTCACTGTTTATGTTGCTCTCTGTTTTTATTCTGGAGTAGTCAGATGCACCACAGCTTTGATCTCACGTATGTACAACCTCCTTCCCAGGGGTGGGGGGAGTGTGTGTGTGTGTGTGTGTGTGTGTGTGTGTGTGTGTGTGAGAGAGAGAGAGAGAGAGAGAGAAAGAGATCAAACTGAACCTTCTGTTTTCTCATTTTCAAATATATAAAAAGTCTTACAAAGATGTTCTCACTCCACTACATCTCAGTTAATATATTAAATTACCTTTAATGAGTTATTAAAGGAGACATATTGCAGTGACAAAGTCTGCAGTCAGGAACTTGTCCAAATTACTGAAGAGCAATGTTGTTAGTTTGAGGACTAAGGCACATCTCATTTAGGCCATGGTACTTCCAGTCACTTACCAGAACACTTGACTGTGCTCAGGCGAAACCTATCCTCTGACCAGGAGGCAGACTTCAGAACAGAGCAAGGAAACACTAAATTGTTCTAAATC